CTTGAATGATTTATACTTGAGGTAATCTTAGTGGAGTTGAATCCTACCTATTCTAGTTAGGTTACTTTCCCTTCCAGTATATTTTTTTTATCTCACCTGGGTTAAGCCCATTATTACCTCAGAGACCCACTTTCTGATTATGGATTGGATTTACTCAGTTTTTCTTCTCTGGTTGAATTAATTAGTTATTTGGAACTCAACCGCAGGTTAATGAAGAAATGTGATACTGTCACTTTAAAGGAACATAATTTATTTAAATAATATAATTTCAACTTTGCAGACTTTTATAAGAATAAGGTCTTGAAATAAAAATGCATGAATAACAATCTTGTTTGGTATTGCTTCACAATATATGACAATTAAATGGATATGAAATGAGAGGTTGCATAATTGTCAAAAAACAAATATAGTCCGTGAGATTTTTAAGGAGCAATTAAGTAGCACAGGTGATTCTTGTAACTGGAGAGAGAATATGCAGTCCATTTACTTTTATGATAAATGAAATAAAGGTAGATCCTGGATGCAAAGAATTATAGTCCTTAGACTTGCAGAAATAATATGTATGCAGTTAGCTTTTTAAATAGTTGCAGCTTTGTAAAGACAATCCCAGAGGGCAGACTTCTGACTCCTATTCCTCCCGATATAACTTTGGGGTAAACCAATTAGTCATCCCTTAAGCTGGCGAATGTATCTGTACCCTGAGAATGATGAGTGTGGAAGTCCATTCAGGATAGCAGAGATTATGGTCGACCGTAGTTGGGAGAGATGGTAGGGTTCCAATCTCATCTGTATCCAATTTAGGGAATGTAGAGAAAGCTTAGCCAGGATCATGCAGAAAGTTCGGTACACAGGAATCCGCATTGGAGTTCCATGAAAGGAATGTAACAAAGGCTCTTCAAACACAGGATTGTGTTTGAGACACTACCCACACACAACAAACAAACACACATCGATTGAGCAATCAGATGTAGTCACGGGTTCCTTTTTAAAGGGAGATCCATGCCATCAGATGTATTTGCGTGAATGGATCGGCTAAACCCGGAAGTCAGACCGAAAACAATAAGGCGGTGAAAGGGTTAAAAATGAAGTACATGACTACTGTAAATGGACAAGACTATATTATTAGAAATAACAATTGTTAAATGTCAGCTTAAAAGTACAACCTGTTGCAGATCATGGTTACAGAAATAAATGTTGTTGGTTGCTTAATAAGCAATGTGTTTAGCTGATGTAATCTTGTCATGTCACTTTTGCTGTAACTTCTGTCTATAAATTTGTTTGCCTGACCATTAATACACTGGTAGTAGCCCAATTTGAAATACGTTGTCTGTGTATCACTGGAAGGCTCTCCCCGAACGTTCGGTCCAAAAGTGAGGTGCATGGAAGGCTTTGCCCAGAAGTGTAAAATGATCCCAACACATATACTAAATTGGCAAAAGCTGTTACTACAAAGCTCTTTTCGCCTAATATCAATTTTGATAGAAATAGAGAAAGGGAACCTTATGGAAATCAATGCAACTTTAGAAAAAGAAATTGACCAAGTCCATCAGTGTAATGAAGATTCTCTATTCCCCTCTATGGAAAGCAAACTAAAAATTAATATGGAAGAATATTAAAATTATATTAAGGAAAAAAAACAAAACATAGGAACTTCCAGAGAGATTATCAAGATTTTAATAATTAACATATTTTTATGTTTCGCAAATGTAAGAACAGAAACAGTGGTAGAAGGACCTCCTCTTCCCCTCACCCTAACCAACATCTATCAGATTCCCAGACATCAGAAAGTAGAAGTGATACAGACAGTTCCAAATCTGATAACTCTAGGACAAGACAAACCAGGGGAATCTTATGTCCACCAAGAAATGTGTCATTTGCTGCTCCTTCTTTTTTGCACCAGGGCCCTTCACAACAACACTCCCACCGATCCAATTGAGAGATCGCAGACAATAGGTTTACAAGGGCCAATGAAAATAATCACAAATCAGATTATCAATATATCAAACTTTTCTCTACAAAAAAGAAACACACTAGGTTGGGATGTGGACTCTCTTTTTTTCCCCACCTTAGATTTTGATTGTGTCTAATGGGTAAAGTAACTCCACCTTTTTTTCAGTAAATTAGCTTTACATTCTTGATGGAATGTTATCATATTTATGCTTTTTGATATTTAATATGTTAGTGAATAAAACCCTATATTAAGTTTCTAAGTTTTAGCATAGTAAGCTTTTTGGTTATTTACAAGTTTTGACTTTATACCTTATTTTCTAAATCTTAGCCCCTTACTGTTGTGTGCAAGTCCTAATTAAAGGCACTCCATACTTCTGATCTAGCTAAAAAACTGCAGGAAAGACCAAAATCCCCACCCCACTTTTACTTCTCTCTCTATACATTAGGACCAGGTGTAACTATCTGATTGGATAAACAGTATAAGCATGTCTTGTTAAAGAAAACAATATAACCTGTGATATGCAATAACATCTTGGAGATGTTACTGTGAGCAATGTGAATCTGTGTCTATTTCATGGTAATCTCTTCCCAGAGCTGCAAAGAGATTGCAAGATAAATCAGAGATGCTAAATTACATAGAAGTCCATGGCAAAGAATTGATCAATTAAAGGGGTCTTCATTTTAATATAACAATTCTCCTTTTAAAAAAAAAGATCAGAAAAAGAAATCAGAAGTAGAGCTGAGGGAACCCGAACCGCAAAGTTCGGGTTCGTACCGAACATTACGGTTTTTGGAACCCGGACCCGAACACGGAAATTTTGGTGTATGTTTGGGTTGGAGTTCGGTGTTCGGCGATTTAATGGCGTGTTTTGAAAGGCTGCAGGGCAGCCAATCAACATGCATTTGACTCGTTTGCCCTTAGAAGCCATCTCAGCCATGCCTACTAATGGCATGGCTGTGATTGGCCAGTGCAGCATGTGACCCAGCCTCTATATATAAGCTTTGAGTCACGTAGCGCCGCATGTCACATGAGCTCTTATTAGTGTAGGGACAGGATACTGCAGCTGTGAGGGACAGCTTAGGAAAGAAATCTGCAAACTACAGCGATTATTCAAACTACAGCGATTATTTTAGTGGGTGCTATACTACATTTTTGTAACCTGCCCTGAACCCAGTGCCACAGAGAGTGCAGTGCACTTGCAACTGCATGTGTGCCAGGCACATGACTTTAATCCTATTCTGGTAGCTCAGTGGACAACATTTAGGCATTTTTAAATACTGCAATTTTTTGGGTGCTAAATAGTACATTTGCGTATTGCATTTCTTGCAGTCTTATAAAACTCTTAAATACTACTCTTACATTGTTGGATTAAAAAATCACACTTTTTTTGTGCTAAATAGTAAATTTGCGTCCTGCGGTGCACTTCATATCTGAGAGTCAAATAGAATGATCAAATACTGTGCTTACAGCGCACTTTGACCCATTCAAATCTTTGGGGTGATAAAAAGTAAATTTGGGGTGTGCACTTCATATCTGAGAGTCAAATAGAACCGTCAAACACTGTGCTTACAGCGCACTTTAAAAATTCTAATTTTTTGGGTGCTAAATAGTACATTTGAGGCCTGCGGTACACTTCATATCAGAGAGTCAAATAGAACCATCAAATACTGTGCTTACAGCACACTTCGACCCATTCAAATTTTTGGGGTGATAAAAATTTGGTGTGTGCACGTCATACCTGTGATTCAAAAAGAACCGTCAAATACTGTGCTTACAGCGCAGTCTGACCAATTAAAATTTTTGGGGTGCTAAATTTGAGGCCTGCGGTGCACTTCATATCTGAGAGTCAAATAGAACCGTCAAATACTGTGCTTACAGCGCACTTTGACCCATTCAAATTTTTTTTGGGTGCTGAATAGTACACTTGCGGCCTGCGGTGCACTTCATATCTGACAGTCAAATAGAACCATCGAACACTGTGCTTACAGCGCAGTTTTAAAAATTCTAATTGTTTTTGGGTGCTAAATAGTAAATTTGTGGCCTGCGGTGCACTTCATATCTGACAGTCAACTAGAACCGTCAAATACCAATATAACAAGATTGTAATTCGGGGGCAATAGCCTCACAAGTCAAAAGAGGTCAGTTTATAGGGAAAACTGTTTCCTGGATACAATTCTAAAACAATTACCATATGTCCTTTGCAGAGTTTATATGCTGGAAAAACACAGGTGCCAGCTGCTGTGGCTTTCTGCAGTGTACAAGGACGGCAGGGTTGAGGAGTGGGTAGAAGACGATGTGGAGGATGATGGAAACAAGGTCTTGCGAGTGACGTGTTCAGTTTGGAGGAAGAGGCGCTGGTCGCACAGAGGCACCAGCACAGCATAAGAGGGAGCAGGGTGCAAAAGCGGAGCGGCTGTCCCCTAGCACTCGTCGGCATGTATTAGCTTGAGAATTACCACAGTTATCCAAGTAACAGATGGAGCCATCAAAGGATCCATAATAGAGCTGAGTGAACCCGAACTGCAAAATTCGGGTTCGTACCAGATTTAACGAGCCATTCGAAGTTTCAGATATTAAGGCAGCAGTCCTGTGACTGGGACCCAGACACTGTCTGGGCGGAGGTGGGATGACCGGAACCCAGTATGCCTAATGTTGAAGTTAGGAGTCACAGTGGGGAATAGATTAGCAGTGGGAGTCACAGTGGGGAATGGATTAGCAGGGTCTGGTGCAAAACCAGCTTTTGTGCGGCCACATACCAGGACCCTGATGCAGCTTCAGTAAAAATAGTACTGGATACCAGAAGCCATCACCAGACTGATCCACAACTTGGAACAGGATGTGACATTCACTGTAGCGGCTGTGCGTGCTTTCGGCGTTCTCACCCTGCTGCTGCTCGTCTGTCTGCGCTGCAGCATAACTTTGGCCTTCCCGCTCACCGCCTCATATTCTCTGCCCCAGACTTGACCTCCAATTGATCCTAGTTATAGGATTTCAAGTGGACTCATTACAATTACATGGCCTGTAAAGAGTTCTGTATTGTTATTTGTCGTCACTACCTCACCGTGTCGGGAGTGGGAATTTTGCGCGCCTACTGCCTTCCTTGGATGTAGCCATTTCTCAGACTTCCTTTCCGGAATCGAACCCTCATTCCCCATTACTCGTGGTCACCATGGTAGGCGCAGAAAGTCCATCAAAAGTTGATAGGGCAGACATCCAAATGCGTCGTCGCCGTCACGGGGATGTGAGATTGGCCCGAGGTTCTCTAGAGTCACCAAAGTGCCTGCACAACTATAATGTCGACAGCTACTTGGAGTAGGCACTGACGCTCCAAGTCTTGTAAAAAGTAATCTATGCCTTCTTCTGCTTTCTTGAAATCTTTGAAGGCATTGTATGGTAGCTTATGGGCCAGGGTGGTTGTGCTTCTTGGTGCCCTCTGCTCCCTTCTTCCTTCATCTGGGTTCTTGGAGGTCACCCTCTGTCTATTGGCAAGGACTCTAATACGCCTGCACCTCCAAAAAGGTCCTGCGGACAATCTCCTCTGACGGTAGCTCTCGGTAATATGCCAGGCGCCATTCCACCTTGCACACTTCCTCCTCATCTCTGGACCTTGGCTGGAGTTGTTGCCTCCATGAGCGGTCAATTCGGCCTTGTTACGCCCACCAGGCATTATTCCTCTGGCTCCACACAAGTCCTGCAGTGTAGGTCGCTTTGGAGCACTGTAGCCCATGGGTCTGTTGGCATGGACATGGGATCCCGCCTTTTGCCACCAATTGAAGCAGGACCTGGGTAACCGATGGTTATCCCCTTTGATTAGAATAGGTCAGACCCATTTCCCCAGTAATAGGATGGGACACAGTTCCAGGATACAACGTTTGACAATCTTTATTTGGGTACACAGCTTTGCCTCCTGTTGCCTCCTCCTACTCCGCTTCCTCTTCCTTTACCACCTCCTCATCCGGTCAGCGTAACACCTTCACCACCAACTTCAGCACAGCCAGGGGGAAACGACAGAAGGCTATTTTAAAACTCATATGTTTGGGGGAAAAACCCCACACCTCGCAGGAGCTATGGACGGGCATGGAACAACAGACCGATGAGTGGTTGTTGCAACTGAGCCTCAAGCCCGGCCTGGTGGTGTGCGATAATGGGCGAAATCTCGTAGTAGCTCTGGGCCTAACCGATTTGACACACATCCCTTGCCTGGTGCATGTGCTGAATTTGGTGGTGCAGAAATTCCAGAAAAACTACCCATATATATCAGAGCTGCTGCAGAAAGTGCGTGTTGTCTGTACGTGCTTTCGTCGTTCTCACCCTGCCGCTTGCCTGTCTGCACTGCAGCATAACTTCGGCCTTCATGCTCACCGCCTCAAATGTGACGTGTCCACAAGGTGGAACTTCCCCTTGCACATGCTGGAGAGACTGTGTGAGCAACAGCAGGCGATAGTGGAGTTTCAGCTGCAGCATGCACGGGTTAGTCGCTCTGCAAAACAGCACCACTTAACCACCAATGAGTGGGCCTCGATGCAAGACCTGTGTGCCATGTTGCGCTGTTTCAAGTACTCCACCAACATGGCCAGTGCCGATGACGCCGTTCTCTGCCTTACTATCCCGCTTCTCCTTGAAAAAACGCTTCGGGCGATGATGGAAGAGGATGTGGCACAGGAGGAAGAGGAGAATGAAGAGGGATCATTTCCACGGTCATCAGGCCATTCATTCACAAGTGGCTCAGAGGGTGGGTTCCTGCACCAGCATAAACCAGGTACACAATTGTCCAGCATCTCCACACGAAGCGTTCAGCTGTCCATCTCCGAAACACTGGAGAGAAAGTACCCCCTTAACAGCCTGCGATCCCTGGCCCTCCATGCCAGCATTTCATTTTTGTGTCATATTTGTGGCCTTTGAAATGCTGTCATTCCGTCTGGTGGAGACGGATAGTTTTAAAAACCTGATGGCGTTATTGGACTAAGAAATGCACCGCAGGCCGCAAATGTTTCTTTTTTTAACTGTCCCAATATTTTGAGGGCTACACCAATTAAAAAAAAACAAAACAAAACAAACAAATAAATACCAGCGTTGGCTACCTCCTCCTCCTCCACCGCCACTTCCACCTACACCGCCATGGTCACCGCCTCCTCAACCTATGGGTCACTTAGTATAAACTATGTACACAATAGAAGAGGCTTGTGAAGGCCTTTTCTCCATGCATCAGGAGTTGAGCATTTCTCCATGCATCAGGAATGCAAGAAATGCACCGTAGGCCGCAAATGTTTCTTTTTTGTATATGTCCCAATATTTTGGGGGCTACCCCAATTAAAAAAAAAAAAAAACAGTGTTAGCTACCTCCTCCTCCACCGCCGCTTCCACCTACTCCGCCACAGTCACCGCCTCCTCAACCTATGAGTCACTTAGTATAAACTATGTACACAATAGCAGAGGCTTGCGAAGGCCTTTTCTACATGCATCAGGAGTTGAGCTCAGTTTGAACCATGAAAGAGAATACCCTGCACTCCAACCCTCTCTCAAATGGATAATTCTGTTGATCCTCCTGACAGCCATGCCAAAGCTAAAACCAAAGATTCCATCTAGTGCTATTTTATGGCTCAGCTGTATTTTTATGTATTTTATGTTATTGTAAAATTTGTTTGCAGGGCACTTGTCCTACGCTTACCCCCATTTTACTTTTGCAGCTCTCTAGCCCTTTCCAGGACTTTTTTAGAGCCATTTTTGCCTAAAGTGACATCGCCACTGGTTTTTGGAGGGGCCTGTTTGCCAGCCTCCTGGCCTGAGACTATGGCCCTGGGATACTGATTTGGGCATACTGTATTTTATTATGCTGCTGCTGACCCTTTAAGGACCATCTGGGGACATACAGTGGAGTTACTGGGTGGCCACCATTTCATGTAACCCTGTGCTCAAACTCGCACTACTCCTGGTAGGCAGTAATGACTATAGTACATATCAGCCTCAATACATACCATAAAAAAACAAATGGAAAAAGTCACTTGCCCTCTATGCCAAATCCCTGTGCATATTTAATTAAACTGAGATTTTTTTTGTATCACTCCAATGGCCATTCAAGTGTAAGCTCACCTGCCAAATTGTATATATTGTGGCTGATACTAATAGTCATTGCTGCCACCCAGAAGTAGTTTGAGCACAGGGCTTAATACATGTTTGTACACACAGAAATAACTCTGCACTCAAACTCAGTCACTACATACAGATGCATCCCTGTTTTCAAACACAACACACAAAAACATACAAACAAATATTCATATTTATTTTTGTAACCTGGAGCTGCAACCTAAAAGTAGATTTTATGGCCCCTCCAACTTATAATGACTAACACCTCCTTAAAGCAGCCTTTTACAGACACTAACATGTTCTTCAAATCATATTGTGAAATCAAATCATTGAATTCATTCATAGTATTATATCCAGCCACATTTATAAACTCCACTCTCTGGGTCATGCTGTATGAACCCTGCGCTGGCTGTATTAACCCTACCCCATGCTGGAGTAACCCTGCCCCATCTAGATTAAAATCATGCACCTACGGCAATACTCCCTGTGCTGTATAATTAGCTCCACTTGGGAGTCATTGTCACACATTGTGTAATTGGAGGGGTTATTCATCTCCTACTATTACAGGGACTCACGACTAATAAAGGAATGCTGAAAAAAAAAAAATCAGACCTGGTCCTTTTCAGGATTCCATTAGTGGCTCCAGCCTCTGTTAGTCCCCAACACCTCTGTACAGTACCCTAAAAAATTAAATTCAACTTAAAAACTTAAAATTACTTGTGAGTGTAGATACACTGATTTGTAGTGAATTTACAATACGATTGCCAATTTGGAAAATTATTCAATTCAGTATTAGCCATAGCATGTATATATTTGCCTAATGCTGAACTTTGTTTTTTCTTTTTTTTTTTTTTATTTGAAGGAAAGAATGGAAGAGGGATACTTCAATGATGCACATTGAACTTTGCTCTTTCAACCTGCTATAAATTTGATGATCTGTAAAAAAAACCTGTGTGTTGGAATATTTACCAGTTCCAGAATTTGTACCTGAGTTAAGATAGATAGACAGACAAACAGATTTGTAACTACTTACAGTATTTGATTCCATTTGTAGATGCAATCTGATTCAGATTCAATGATAATTCCATATTGCAATAATTGCAATCTGCATTTTATAGTTTTCAGTACAGCACAGGGATGATTTCAAAGCATGATTATCTCCTGAGTATATTGATGAAACAGATAACAAATATTAATTAACTTGCTCTATCCAGCTAATTAATGACAAGGAAAATTGTTTTCTCTGACTAACTTTATGTTTCCAGGAATAATAGAGGTTATACAAAAGTATTTCAGAATTCTTGTATAAAAAATAATTTCAAATTAAGATGCTGAAATGCCTAAAAACATTAATGTGTCCTCAGAAACAGAATTTACATTCTATATATGCAGCTAAATAATCAATTAAGACAGTAGCGCTCTTAATTTTAAGCCAGCTGAAGTTTACAAGAATAACATTGAAAGGTTAATAGTGAATTTATTTTATGTATTTATTTTTAAATTCTTTATTTTTGAGATTTTTCAGCAATAACAGGGTAAAAGTAGTATACAGGTGGTACTGCACAACAAATTATATGTTACAGAGAATTGATAAATCACCTCACATCAAGAATGGGTATTTGTGCTCCATTGTTATCATCTATATATCTCCGCTATAGTACCAAATTCGCGCCAAAAGGGTTATTGTTCCAAATATTGGAAGTTTCCATATTATCGATAAAAATGTTGGCATAATAAGGTGCAAATTTGGTACCCATGGTGGTGCCCTTAATTTGTAAATAAAAATTACCATTAAAACTAAAAAAATTATGTGTCAAAATGAATTTAATTCCATCCAAAATAAATTGTCTAAAAAAAGGGGATGAACTAATATCCAGATCAAGTACTCGTTTAATGGCCTCAAGGCCTACATTATGATCAATAATCGTATAAAGTGACATGACATCCAAAGTGGCCCATACGTAGTTTTCCTTCCATTCGATGCACTCTATTTCTTGAATAAGGTTTTTAGTATTTTAGTACTATGGCGGAGATATATAGATGATATTTTAATTATTTGGAAAGGCCCACCTAATCTTTTACAATAATTTTTTAAATATAATAATGAGAATAACCAATCATTGGTTTTTACTCCTCATACAGATCCTTTTAGTATTAACTTTTTAGCTCTTAACTTATATATAGAGAATTCAATTATTAAAACTAAGACATTTTTTAAACCTACGGATTCTAATTCTTTTATTAATATTAAAAGTGCACACCATCCTAATTGGCTTCGAGGAGTTCCAAGAAGCCAATTTACTAGAATTAAAAGAA